TAGCTTTTGGATGCGTGTGTTGGGCGGGCAGCAGTGGTGATGTGGCGGCATGTTGCTTCTGCCTCCTTAGCATCTCTTGAATTCAACTGTGTCTCACCATCCCAGCTGCTGCTGCCAAAATCTGTCATGATCTCTCATCTCTCCTTTGGATTGTTTCAGCTCCTCCCAGCTGATCTCCCCAGCTGCAGCATCAATTCTTGATCAATCCATTCTTTAAGTGGAAGTCAGAGTGATCCTCCTCAAATGAAAACTTTTATCATGTTACTTCCTGGCTTGAATCTCTTCAGGGGATGCTCGCTGCTTTCAAAATGAAGTCAGGACTCTTTAGCAGTCCCCCACGGCCCTGAGAGTCTAAATCTGTGCTGTTCATTATGTTAGCCACCAGCCTCATGTGCTGTGGAGCACTTGAAATGTGGCTAGTATGATTTGAGATATACTGTAAGTGTGAAATACACCCCAGATTTCACAGGCATAGTCAAAAGAAAATTTAAACTATCTCATTAACAATTTAAAAATTGTTACATACATATTGACTACATACTGAAATGATAGTATTTGTATATATTGGGTGAAATAAAATGCATTAAAATAAATTTTACTGATTTCTTTTTACTTTTTAAAATGTGGCTACTAAAAAATGTAAAATTACATATGTGACTCATATTATACTTATATTGGACCATGTTGACTAAACCTGTATTCCCTGCCAGCTTCATCTTTCTCCACTCTCTTAATTTTAGTGAAATTTTTTTCATTAAGAGTAACAGAAACTGACTTGAAAGGAAATGAAAATTAAAAGTTTGAGGGATTGATTGCAAGGGCTTTCTGAATCAAAGGAACTGTTGACTAATCACTCTGGGGGCCTCAGCTTGTCTCCATTCTCCAGTTTTATATTCCACATTTCAAATTCTTAGAGAGAGAATCTGATTAGATAAGCTTAAATCAGATGTGTCTATTCCTGGATCAATCCACTATGGCTAAGGGAAGAAGAACTCATCGTAAGCTATCTACTGCACATTTCTAATTCATCCCCTAGTCACTATGTTGCTACAAAGCAGCATGAGTTTTCTAACCTGTAGGAGTCAGAAAACTTTTTCCGTCAAGGGCCAGATAGTAAATATTTTGTGCTTTGCAAGCCATAGTGTCTCTGTCAGAACTATTCTACTATGCTGGGTAGAGCAAAAGCAGAGATAATACATAAGTGAATGGACATAACTATGTTTCAATAAAACTTTATTTATAAAACCAGGAAGTGGGCCAAAGTTTGCCAGCCCCTATGTTGTACTTTCTGTTCCCTCTGCCTGGACTGTCCTGTCCTACCTTCTTTCCAGCAAGCCCCTAGTCATCCTTCAGGTCTAGGTTTAGATGTCTTTTCTTGGAAGCTTTCCTTAACCCTCTTCCCCTGGCTGGTTAGTGGCCTCTGCTCTATGCTCCCACAGACTCTTGAATTCCATCCAAGTGCTTCTCCTACTCTGTTGGCATTGTTCTATTCAAACCACTATATTACTAGTCTGGGTCTCATCTGTTGTTATAAACCCAGCACCCAGCATGCCTGGTACATGGTACACACCTGGGTTATTGGATGAGTGGGAGAAGCCATGAACCGTGGCTGGAAGACAGAGCAGATGTCCTGAGATCTTAAGGCAGCAGTGAGAATCCTGGGCTTTTGTGTATTAGCTACATGGGACCCACTTCCTCAGTTTGTTGTCCCTCAGAATCCCAGAGCTCAGTCAGTAGATAAGGGAGAGGGGTGGCTCTAGGCTGAGCAGGGATTCAGGGCCCTGGCAGTTGTCATGCCATCCAAGCCTCACCTGGATGTTTGTAGCCTCTATGAGCTTTTATCCAGCTCAGCACATCTTGTTGCCTCAAGAGAGTAAGGAGAGTTTCTCCTTTTGATTTAAGGATCACATGTCACACCTTTGAGCAATACAGACTTATAGGATTTTTCTGAGTATTGTGCTCAAGGAGACTAAGAATAAAAAAGAAATGGAAGCTCCCTGTCCTTGGGGTCCCTGTGTGACTTACCTCATGGGAACAGCAGGCTGGGATGGATAGCCTGAGACCACTGGCGGCATGTCTTCCACAAGATGTAGCTGATGACCAGCAGAGTGGATGAGGAGAGCAGGACCGGGACGATGACTGCTGCAGTCGGCAAGCCACCCACAACTGGCCAAGGAGGTGAAGGCGTCAGGCAGGGGTGGCAGACTGTTCCTTGAGTGCAGGCTGTGCCCCTGCCCTTAGTAACTGAGGCCACACAATATTGGGGTCCCAGGTCTAGAGGAGGCATGGTACAGGACAAGAACAGGCTTGGAGGCAAAGACTGAGTGATGTTGGGCAGGTGACCAATAGTTGTTTCCCGCCAGTGTTCGGCAATTAGAAAGTGCTTCGTACACATTTGTGGACTAGAAGGGAGAGAATTGATGCCAATAACACCTGGTGTTTTATATGTCTTGTTTTATCCAACCTGACAAGTTCCCATTTACCAGACGGGAAAGTTGAGAGGCAGAGACTGGCTTGTCTGAGGTTAAAAAGTTAATAAGGGGCAGAAGGAGGACTTGAACACAGGTCTGCATGCTGCCACCACACCTTCATGCGATCTGTGTGCTTTCCAGTAAGCATGTATTGAACACTCACTGTGGGCCAGGCATGTGGCCCAGCCCAGCAAGACAACACCTGGCTTATGATAGTTCCTCAATAAATTCTAACTCTCATTAGGCACTAATATTAGTTTGACTCATTTAGTCCTCACAGCAACTCTGCAAGTGTACATATTATTATTCCTATTTTCCAGATGGGAAAACTGAGGCTAGTGAGGTGAAGTGTCTCCATGAAGGGGCAAGGTCAAGATTCAAACCCAGGTTGACTCCCCTTTATCCATGTCAGCTAAGGTAGCAGAGCAATCCAGTACTACTGCCTCAGTTTCCTTAGCTGAAGAACAGGAAGGTGTTGTGGGAAAGGAGTAAACACAAGGGTTTTTAGAGGGCTGTCCTACGGAAAGGAGCCCAGTCTTGTCTGGGGGGCCTAGAGCACAGAGCTAGGACCAGGGGAGACACAAGGGGACCCAAGTAAGAAAAGACCTCCTAATCATTATTGTCCAGTAGGGGAATGGGCTAGTGAGCTCCCTGTCCCCAGACACCTTTGTCCAGGGATACTGTGGTTTGGGAAACCTCAAGAATCAAATTCTAAGGGCTCTGCTGGTGCTAGAAAAAATGTATGGGCTCTAGATCCTGTTCCACAGAACTGCCAGCTTGCTGTGACTGTCCTCTCTGGGGCCCTTGAGATAGGGGAGTGAGGCTGAGTCATTTAGCTCTGAAGCAGGCCCTCGTACTCCCAGGAGAACACTCACTGCTTCCAGCTTTCACTTTTTTTTTCACCCAACCCAATGCCTTAGCTTTGCCCCATCCTATACAAATATGATCTTACTCCTTTTTTGCTTAAAACCTGTCATAGCTCCCCATTGCCTTCACATGGGTCACAGCATGGCACGACCTGGCCCTGCTTTCCTCTCCAGCTTCATCACCTTGCCCCTTTGCCTCACATTCACAATGCCCCTCAGACATATAATCTCATTTCTGGCCTCTTATGCCTCACACATGCTGTTCCCTCTCCTCAGCACACCTTGCCCAACTCTCACTTGTCCTGCAGGCCTCAGCTTCAGCAGCACCTCCCCATCAGGCTCCTCTTCTCTGAGTTCCCGTGAGTCCTCCTTCTCCTAGCCCGGCCTCGGTCACTGTCCACTCTTTGAGAGGGACCTCTGTGTTGCTTCTCTTGGTGCTAGCACCTAGTAGGCGCTCAATAGGGATTTGTTGGGTGAGTCATTGAATGAGGGAGTGGAAAGCACAGCAGGGCTGTCTTGGAGGAGACTAGAGAAGGTGAGGGTTCAGCCTTCCCCAAGCCCACAAGTAATGTCACCTTTTCCTCCTTCGGGGCTTGCCCAAAGTCAGCACTCCTCTGGGTTGAGCTGGGGGAAGGTGGACCAGGCTGGGCTGGACAAACAGAGCCTTCCCCACGTGACCGCCCCAGCCCTGCTCAGTTCTGGGCATCTGACTCCAGCCCAAGGGCTGCTTCTGGGTCATCAGCTTCCCTCTTGGAACACTAGCTAGTGCTGGGCAGGAGGTGACAGTGAGCTGGGAGGCACAAAGCCCACACAGCCCTCTCACAAACTTGCTGTGTGACCTTGAGGAATTCACTTCTCCTCCCTGATGTCAGTTTCCTCAACTATAGCAGGGAAAGAATGATCCCTATACACAGCACAAAGTTGTAGGAGGATGCAAGGATAATAAGAAATACAGGTGTGGGAGTCACACAGCTCTGGGTTCAAATGTGAACTCTGCCACTTTACTGAAAAGTTATCTTAACTCTCCAGACTTAGTTTCTCATCTGTAAAATGGGGATAAAAGTGGTACCTCTTCTCAGGCTTGTGAGGATGATATGAGGTGACAGCTAATAGTAATTATTATGTTAATGATGCCTCAAGCAAAGCCTGGTGCATAATTAGATTCAACAGCTTATAAGGTGTGCAGGGACAGGAGAGAAAAAGGAGCATTTGGAAATGTGGGAATTCCAGAGCGAGAAAGGTGCCTTAGGAAACACATGCTGTATTGGTGAGGAGACTGAGATCTCCCCAGAGAGGAGAAATGTCTTGTCCAAGATCACACTTAATTCCACACTATCTGGCTAGTAAACTTCTGGGGCAGAGCATAGGCTTAGGCTGGGAGGTTCGGTATTTGCTTTGGGAACCAGAGACTTTCAAGTGACTCGGCCCCTCCGCAGACCCTGCTCCCGGTGTCTCCTTTCCCTTGTTCTTTCCCCAGTCCCATCAACACGAGGGAAAGCTGGCTCAAGAACGGGCTGAAGTACAAGGGCAAGTGGCACTTCTCCACTCCACCAGCTGAGTGCAGGGGCCTTTTCTGCCTCGTGGCCAGGGTCCAGGAAAGTGGCCGAGGAAAGGGGTAGACATCTACTTACTGCAGCGGTGGGCAGCAGTGGAGAAGTTGCAGGGGGTGTCCGTGCCCATCAGTGGGGTGTCAGGGCCTCAGCTCAGGAGGGATGGAGGTGGCAAGTGCTCAAGGTCTTCCAGGTCATTGCCTTCCTGAAAGGAGGGTGACAGATCAAGGTTATACCAGGAGGCAATCTCGTTCCAGCCAACTGATGCAGCAGGCTCTCTACTCAGAATGCAGGTCAGGAGAAACAGCTTCTAGGGGAGGCTTGAGATCAAACGTTCTGTTTAAACTGATGCTGTTTAAACTGTTTAAGAAGACTACTTAATGATATGGAAGAAGATATACAATCTGTTATTAAGTGGGGGAGAAAAAACAGGCTATGGAACAATATGAGTGTATGTTCCCATTTTTGTAAATAAACATACTCACATGTAAAAAAGGACTAAATGTTATCACCAAAACACTATCAGTGGTTACCTGTGAACAGTGGCTGATGGGCAATTTTTACTTTGTGAGTCTTGACTGTATTTTCCAAATTTTCTACAATGAGCATATTATAAGAAGAAAAAATAATTTTACTTAGGAAAAGAACACATTTTAAATGAGCAAGACTTTTCTTTTTAGGAATACATTTTTTAAATTAAAGTACCATTGATATACAATCTTATGAGGGTTTCACATGAACAACATTGTGGTTTCAACATTCACCCATATTATTAAGTCCTCATCTGCCCCATTGCAATCACTGTCTGTCAGTGTAGTAAGATGCTATAGACATGAACAAAGCTTTGACCAGCAATTCCATTTGTAGGAATTTACTCCACAGAACACATAGAAAGATGAAGCATGATCATATTTTTGAAAGAGAAAATTCTAGTTTATTTATGCATAAGCAAAACTGTCTGGAAGGACTTACACCAAAGTGTTAATAGCTGTCAGCTGCTGGGAGCCAGATGAGGGGAATTTTTGCTTTATGGTCTTATATTTATTTGAATTTTTATATGATAAAAATAAGTTATTTCATAATTTTTTAAAAAGGCAAGCAATCAGACCATGTTGCTAGTCTTTGCTAGCTCTCCTTGGTTTTCCCTGTGCAGAATCTGGCTGGGAGTGGTCAGTGGGGCTCGCCCTGGGGGCTCAGTTTCTATCCAGGTGTGTTTTGGGAGGAGCTACCTCTGGTCTCTATGATACCCCCCAACTTGATTTCCTGATTCCAGCTTTGACACTAGCCAGTTCCAGCCAGCAACCATTTCCCGAGACCCTCTTTGCACCCAGCAGGCAGAACAATGTGATCCCTGCCTTGAGATGCTTGTGGTCTAGTGGTAGCAGGAGACCCGGAATGTGGCTGGTGCCCACAGCACTGAGTTCTGCTGGGACAGCTTCATCTTGAGTGGGATGTAAAGGATGAGTAAGATTTCAACAGGAAGAAAGAGGCAGGCAAGGGCATTCTAGGCAGGGGCACGGTGGTTTTAAGGACCCACATATGCTAACGCTGTCCATTTGTTGTCCTAGTGTTCTGAGTGTGCTCAACTAACATTATATAAACATTAAAAGGAAGCCCCTGGAAACAGAAAAAATGTGTTGTGTCACTGTTGATGTCAGGGTGTGGGAGAGGGGGAGTGAGAGCTGAAAGCTGGGCCAAGAGGAGGACTTGGCTTGGCTTGGCATACGGGAGCTGCTGTCATGTCTACGGATCTATGCCCACACAGCAATGGCCCCATGTTGCTGCCCATGCAGAGTCACAGGAAGACCCAGCTCCTCTCCCAGCCCCCCTAAAGTTCCCCGCTTGGTGTGGTGCCTGAAATCCCACCATTAGCTGCTCTGAGCATGGTTCGGTTCCTGTTAGAAATGTGCCTAGGTCAGGGAGGGGGCAGCATCTCAAACCATAAACCTGTTATTCTGAGGCACACGGGGAGGCTAAATTTTGATGGAGAAAGGAAAGGGACAGAGGAGGTGTTTCAGGAGTGTGGCAGAGGAAGGAGGAGGTGAAGGGGATGGGCACTGCTGGGCAAACTCCACGAGGCTGCCTCGAGTTACAACCTTAGAACCGGGGGTTGCCGCATCACCCAGGGCCACCCATCTCTCTTGTGCTCCAATGAGAAATGGACACCCTGAAGGTGGCAACGAAGGGAGCTGTCCAGGGTCACTGGAGAATCAGGGATGGAGCTGGGGCCCAATCCATGTTTAGCAAAGTTCGTCCAAGTCTCAGACCTACAGCCCCACACTTGTGGGGATACACACACCCCTCCAGCTGATCTTTGTTTCTTTTTGGGGACCTTCTGGGGGGCCTTACCTGCATCTCCTCCCAGTAGTAGGAACAAAGCTGCTTAGCCCCCGTTCCTCGTTTGTAGACTTGGAAGTTTGATGAGGTAGGGGGTTCAGTCTGGGGTTTGCTGTGGGCAAAGGAAGCAGGTCCAGGAGTCCAGACTACAGGGCGTGGGGGGCAAAAGCCGCTTCTCTAGGAAGAAAGATTCCAAAACCCCCAAACCACTTGAGGCCCAGAGGCTGAGTCTAGTGCTGTGGAATCAGGGAACCCCCCTGGGCTGTCACTTCTGATACCCTCACTTGCCTGGGGTATCTGGTGGCTCCAGCATCTGTGGGCAGCTTTGTCCCTGCTGTGGCTGGTGCTGGCTCTGGGCTCTGTTGCCAGCAAAGGAGGTACCAGGTGTGGGAAGGCACCAGCTGGCTCTGCCCTTGGAGGAGGAGTGGTTAGGGTCCAGGCCAATTTTCCTTTCTCCTTGGGGAGGAGGACAGAGAAAGGCATCCAGCGCTTGGTGCCTGGTTCTGGGGGCCCTGGCCACTCCCCTTCTGCTCAGGCCCCGGTTCCTGGGGGTGGGAGGAGGCACCAGCATCC